TCAATGTTTTAATGTGCAAACCCTAAAAAAATCATGTTTATTAGTTATGAATAAACCTTTGAAATGAGTGCACAACTTAGTCTTACCAGCAACGAAGACTAGTGAAGCATGAGAAGTCAACAGCAACTGATCGATAGTAAAATTGTTTATCATACTATCCGTATTGCTGCGAAAGTATCGGCGGTCTGATATTAACGTATTTGATTTGTTCCTTCGATAAGTTCATAGTAGGTATGCGCGAAAACTAAATCCACTGTGCAACTATGTACATGTTTGTGCAGTGAAGGATAGGACACCCGTGTTGTGTGAGAACTACCTGCTTGCCGAAACCCCGCTTAGTAGAGGAATTCAAACCCATGACTCACTGGTAGAAAATCGACTGTCTAAATCTTCGAGCCATAGCTCTGGACTAGGCGGAGAGAAAGTAAAGCAACCGTAGTACTACACTCTGTTTTCCGTTTGATAGTCACAGATCTGTCTGAACCACAAGTAACATGCAGTACAAAGTGTTTATCTGAGGTGAAGTCGCTTTCATAATCTTTTTCTCTGTTAAGATAAACAAGATGACTTTGATAAGTAAAGTGGTGGAGCTAAACTTTAGTGATGGCCAACCACACTAAAGTATACACTGACCAATCAGAATCAAGAACATGAAGGACAACGTAATGTACTCTATTTACAATTTATAAATCTGTTTTACTTGAGAAATAAAAATATCAAGATTTCATATAGGTTTATCATCTTTGAAACCATATCATTGTCTGCATCGCCACTACCATATGAGATGATATCATTTCAATGACATTGGGGGAATTTTCCCTCATGATCCCGTTAAAGGTCATAAGAACTCTCTAAGACGTCTCCGTGTATTTTCAAAGTTGTTTGTGTTCACTCTAGTTGTCCGATCAACGAAGGGCTTCTTGTTAACAATAGCTAGATGGGGGGTAACCCATTTCAGATGGAGTCGTATATAACTTTCAAGCATCTATGTATATGGTGGCCCTCAATATCATGCATTTTTATAGTAACTGCTAGGATAGATTTTTCCTTTATTCACTGAAAATGTCCTTTCTTCGTATTTCGGTCGTATATATCAAGAATCTGTGGTTTGTCAAAACATATGAATGTATGCACACATTAGGTAAGTTATAACTTACTCATTCCTGTTTAAAGTTATTTTCCTAGGTTATATTTAAGTTTCCGAACAAGATATTCATCTACTACAACCACATTAATTACTCCACCAAATTTCACATTCAACCTGCGACGTATTCTTCATCACGATTCATAAAATGTTTTTTCATCGTCAACAACATGCTAAATGGACGTAATGGGTGACCCAGAATAAATCATATCCAAAGTGATTGGTTGTCCCCGAGATTTCCAGTCACTTAAGTTTAGTTCTGCCATGAAGTTTCTATAATCTAAGCTTTGCTATATACTTCCTAACATTTGTGTAATTCTAGTTCAAAGGTTAACAAGCTATGTTCATAGCGTTGAAAAAGCTTATACTGTCCTTCAGGGTCAAGTCACTTTGAGATTAATTATCAGTCAATGATTATGAAAATACAAGTAACAACATGTTAGATACTTTATTGCTTGGTGATCTGGTCACCAACCTCTCTGCATTCTAACCCCCCACTTTAGTTATCATTATACTTTCTTGCAGACGTGCGTTAGACGTGCGAAACATGTGTCCCATCCGTCTCAATCAGTTGATTTACCTCCTGTGCTTTTACTCTCCTCAATTGGTGCTTGCATCACATGCGGATGATGTTACCGAGTTATTGGCAATCAATATAAAGCTGTCATAAATCTATTGTTTAGTAGTACAGAGCGTAATACTGCGTTCTGCATTGGGCTATTGGGATATCTCGTCTGCGCCTTAATTCTTATCACCTAATAAGAGTTAATCAAGCCTTTTTCATCGACGTCAAAATTTGTCTACCTACCCATACGGATGTATTCTCATGGATACATCACCTCAGATCTTAATTCAAATCAATGGAAATCGTAAATGTACATGTAAATCCCAGTTTATGTTTTTTCTCATCTGTTTTTATTGAACTGTAAATTTTGGGCGTATTTTGTATGTCTTAAATTCAGCTTCTTTTTGTATACTAAGTCTTTGATTGACATTTGTTATCTCGGTTCGAAATAAGTAAGAGAGATAGTTACAGCTATAATATTTAGCTGTTGTGTCTCAAAAAGTGCATTGTTATTCATCTATATGCGATAAAGGACATAACACATTAATACTGTTTCTTGTATTTCTTATGTTGTATAATTTATGTATTTTTGTTTAAATAGCTAAAGGTCTATGACAAAGCATATAGGTTGTAAATATTATTTATATGTGTTATTTCTTTTGTCAGGCAGATTTTTATTGAGACATATAGATAGGTACCGGAGTTGTTATTCACTTTTACATCAAAAAATATTATTAGAACAAGGTTAAACTTGACACGTGAACTCTATCCACTCAATTTACACTAAGTTGGCGAAGTGAGTTAGCAAAGGTGATCTTCGCTAGTGAACACCATTCATACATATCTTTAGGATTCACATTCAGTAATCTGATACACTACTGTTATGCATTTTTGAGATGAATGGGGATTTTTAACTTAGAAGTAGTATTCATCATGGACTGACATCAGTTGGGGAACCATTGAAAATCTGGGAGTACTGGACAGCTGTTTCGTCCTAGTATGGGACTCCTCAGCAGTACGCACCCACGACCCGGCAAGGGGTCGAACCAGGACCTTCAGGTTTCACGGCGAACGCGTTAACCGTTTTCAGTGGTTCTCCAACTGATGTCAGTCCATGATGAATACTACTTCTAAATTAAAAAATCCCTATTCATCTCAAAGATACTGTCATATTAATTATCTAGACAGCCTCTTTATAAACACAGTTGACATATATATATATATATATATATATATATATATATATATATATATATATCACTTCATGAGATATTCTATTTTCGAGGAACCGAACGATAGTCGAAGGTGAAAATTGAAGACTATCGTTTAATAGTTCATATAAATGTCAACATTTTGAGTGATACTGTAGGAAACAACTAGACTAAAACGCAGGAAGGAATTTTATTATTGATATCTTGTACAGCAGTGATGAAATATTGTACTTTTATTATTATTATTAGTCCCTTGGGTTCCTAATGGAACATAAGGCTTCAGTAGCACGTCTCCATTCCACTCTGTTCTCTGCAATCTTTTGAACCTGGCTCCACGACAGCCCACAACCTCTCATTTCCTCCTCGCACGATCTCCTCCATGTCACCCTCGGACGTCCAACTTGTCGCTTCCCATGGGGATTCCACTCGAGTGACTGACCTGACGCGTGATGTCCCCAGTCGGCCTTCTCAGTGTATGCCCAATCCATCTCCACTTCCTTCCAGTGCATATTTGTTGGATGATAGGTTGTTGGTTGGTTCGTTCCCAGAGCTCCTTGTTGCTTACTCTTATTATTCTGGCCATCTGATCTTCAGTAACGAGCCAGCGTAGGTGGCAGTTGTTGATGAATGTATGTAGTTTATTGGAAATCCCTTTCATAACGCACCAAGTCTCTGAGCCATACAGAAGCACTGACTTAACGTTGGTGTTAAAAATCCAGATGTTGTTCCGCATGCTGAGTGCAGAAGATCTCCACACTGGTTTCAGGCTAATGAACGCCTGTCTTGCTGTGTTTCCGATTCTGACTGATTTGACATCATCGTCGGTGCCTGTGGCGCCTGTAGTTGAAACAGTGCTTCCTAGATAGTGAAGGAGGTTACTTCTTTTAAGTTTCTCCCATTGACGGTGACTGGAGTTTGTTGTTGTTGGTGGTGGTGGTGCGGTATCTTCATCACCTCTGTCTTCTCTATATTCACTTGAAGTCCCGTCTTCGCTGCCTTGCCTCTTCTGTCAGCTTGTTAGTTTTGCCTGCAGATCTTCAAGTTTATGTGACATCAGGCACAAGTCATCGGCAAAATCCAAATCTTCTAGATTCTTTTCCGCAGTCCAGAGTATCTCCCTCTTCTCGCTCCCCACTGTTTGCTGCATGATCCAGTCCACCACAGTCAGGAAGATCATGGGGGATAGTAGGCAACCTTGTTTCACTCCTGTCTTCACTTCACTACAGTGGCATCACTGAGCTTCCCATTGTGAATTACTTGGCTGGCATGTGGCGTCTTCATATAGTTGTTGAATGAGGGTGATAAAGGTTTGCGGTACTCCGTAGTAATGAAGCAGTTTCCAAATTACTTCTCGGTCGACGCTGTCAAAGGCCTTCTCAAAGTCGATAAAGTTGAGGTAGAGAGCATAGTTTAGTCTTATACTTTGCAGCTTCCTTTCATTAACTGGATAGGTGATTAGCTCATGATACGACATCACGTTAAGGTGTTTAGGATTATCAAAAAACGTACTTCGAAAACGAATATAATGAACATTCAATCAAGTTAACCAATCATTATCAAACAATACGGTCATTGTAAACCCATTTACTTAGACTTTAGGTGATGTAGCTTAGAATCGATAATGGTGCAGATATATCCACACACTATCTTCATCTCGATCCTCATACAAAATTTTATTATTGCTCCATTTCTGCATATTCCTTTTCAATGCTCTCTACCAATTCTGACTATTTTCATCGTTATCTTCATGTCTTTTATTTTAGTACATTCTCGCTTAATGTATTGATATGAGTTGTGGCAAGTTGGAACGTTACGCAGTAATGTCGAGTCTCATACTGCTATTTACTGTCTGACTGACCTGGAACTAATGATATATTAGAGACAATAAAATAATAGCTTCATAAACAAATAGTGTACAGTCTTACAAACCAAACGGTGACATCGAAAAAAAACATCTCACTAAAAACTACAATACAAACGAAAACCACATAGATACAAAAAAAAGGAGACAAATCAAGACAATCCATATCAAAACTTTTTTTAAAAAAGGTAATAAATAAATCTACAACAACACACTTACCTTTGCTATTCGAATAAAATGCGATAAGATCTCTGTCCGCTTAGATAAATTCTTCTCGTTTAGAATGTCTTTTTGAACCCAGAATATGATCTAAACAGACAGATGGATTGTTTGTTATAAAAATTTTACAAAAGAATTAGAAAACGAAAATCATGTAACAGAAAGATGAATAAAAAACCGTTCAAGATTGATGTGAGTTAATTACATCCCACTGATCACTCATAATTGAGAAATAGCAGCAGAATATAAGGTAATCTAACAAAGCACTATGGCTATTTTTTTAAGTGTTAAACATGAAGTTTCATGTTGATGTTAAAAAGCCACTGCAATAGACTTTGAATAAAGGGGATTATTCCAAATACAGATGAGAATTACAATATCCTTATATACGAGTATTTATCAGATATTTAAAACTAACTAATCTACAAGACAAAACTTATGTTAAATCAAATAAACAATCCCTCCCCAATCTGGAAGTGTATGGGTCGCAACCAATAGAGGTATAACTGTCAACTTGATAAAGCCAACTGATCAGACACACAGATCATAATTTTGTTCACATAAACGTATCAATTAGTCACATTGTAACTGGTCAGTATTCGAAATCTAAACACCAGGATGTTGGATAACACAACGGAGTAAATATGCATACGTATTGATATTATTACTATTTGTCCCTTGGGTTCCTAGTGGAACATAAAGCTTCACTAGCACATCTTCATTTCACTCTCTTCTCTCAAGTCTTTTCAACCTGACTCCACCAATGCCCACAACCTTTCATTTCTTCCTCACATCATCTCCTCCATGTCACTCTCACATCGGACGCCCAACTCGTCCTTTCTCCTCTGACTTCCACTTGAGCACCTAGCCTGGTGCGTCGTGTCCCAGAATCGTTTTCTCAGTGTATGTCCAATTCAATCCAATCCAATCCAGTTCATCTCCACTTTCTTCTGCTGCATATTTGTTGGGTGATAGGTTGTTGGTTGGTTCGTTGCCAGTCAGCCAGAGTTCCTCCTTGCTCATTCTTATTATTCTCGCCATCCATCTGATCTTCACTATCCAGTTAGTGTAGGCGACAGATGTTGATGAATGTCTGTAGTTTGTTGGAAATGCTTTTCGCAACTCATCAAGTCTCTCAACCATCACATAGAAGCACTGACTGACTTGACTGAGATTAGTGTTGAAAATCCGGATGTTGTTCACACTTTATGCTGAATGCAGTGCAGTAGATCTCCACACAGATTTCAGATCAATGTAGTAAGCCCTGTCTTGCTATCTTTCCGATCCTGGCTGGCTTTGACATCCTCATGTGTGCCTGTGCCACCTGTAGGTGAAACGATGCTGCCTAGGTAGTTAGGTGAAAGAGGCAACTTCCTTTAGGTTTATCCCCTTCATGATGATGGGTGCTTGCTGTTGTTGTTGTTGTTGTTGTTGTTGTTGTTGTTGTTGTTGTTGTTGTTGTTATGTATCTCCATCATATCTGTCTTCTCTACGTTCATCTCAAGAAAGTCCCGTCTTCGCTGCCTCGCCTCTTCTGTCAACTTGTTGGTTTTTGCCTGTAGATCTTCGAGCTTGTGCAACAGGACATTGGACATAAATGATGATCGGCGAAAGCCAAATCTTGTAGGGTCTTTCATCGGTCCAGCGAGCGTATACCCATCCCGCTCCCCACAGTTTGTTGCATGATTGAGTCGACCACACTTAGGAAGATGACTGGTGATAGTAGGCGGCAACCTTGTCTTACTCCTGTCTTCACTCCAAAGGCATCACTGAGCTTTCCATTCTGAATCACTTAGTATGTAGCATTATATAGCATAGCATATAGCTGTTGAATGAGGTTGATAAAGGTTTGTGTTGAAGCAGCCGGCATATTACTTCTCGGGTTCGAAAGCGTAACTCATTGATTAAAAGTTAAGTACATATACAAACGAACCGCAATTCCACACTGGCACAGAATGGCTCCACTAGTGAGTGGCAACAATCAACTCCAGATTAATTTGGTTGGGGAGCAAACGTGAAATAATTTCGGATAATCATGATGTTAGCTGGCTGGAAACAATCGGCGGGAAGGCTTGCATCCAAGCAACTAACTTGGTTGCTTTCTCCTGACGAATCAATGTATAATGATGATGCTTTTGCAATAACAGCTTAGTTGGTAATTTCTAACTGAACCCAATTCACAATAACAGTGTAACTATCATCTAATGTGACAGATAAGAAATCATCACATGAAGTATCTTCAAACACTGTTTAAAAGGTTAAGAAACAATCTATCAGAATCTTGGATTACAACACATAACCCACATGAATTGATAAACAGCCTGAAATTCAATGAGTTTCAAACATCACACGATTTTCAGATAGTTGAGTATCCACTACAAGGTTACACTGTATACAGGCTTTTCGGTGCAATGAAGGAATAGTTATCTGAAAGATATGTACGCGTCTAATGCCACGCATTCTACTAAATATCATGCTTACTATCCTCTGACAATTTCAGTTGTCATCTGTTCTGATCACTCTCACTGAAAGGGGAGAAACAAGGAAAAAACGTCAAACACACAGACCTCTAAGTATTAACTAACCTGATTGAACCATCTTGTAGATGCTACAATATTTGGAGCATACTGGAGTTTTTCTTTGCTATTCCACTTCAGAGTATAAAATTCCTGAGTAGTCGGAAAAAGTGACAACAATAAAATAAAAGGGTGATTTAGTGAACAAAGATGTTGGAAAAATCCTGAAGAGCTAGAAAAATACACATTAAATAATAGTACAAATGAACAAACGTGTTGACTATACATTTATCTTATAAAACTGATTAGATAATACAACTTTTTACAGGTTTGTATCCCAACCTAAGACACAAAATGACGAACAAAAGGTGAGCCATACAAAATTATACAGTAACTTTAACGATAAAGACTTCTTTCTGTATTTTCTTATTTTGGATTGATAAAAATTGTATCTGGTTTATGATACCACCAGGACGCTCAGAGGAAGCACTTGGTTGTCTCAAGCGAACACTCTCCGAACCTTCGACTTGGCGTCTCGAAACGAATCGAAATGCATTCAATAACGTTTTACGCATTCGTAGAGAAGACAATGGGTGATAACTATTGTGTGAGGGTTAAAGATGATATCTAGTTGCCCAAACCTCAGTATGCGGAACGGCGTTCAAACCCATAACCTACAAATTCATGACTTGAAGTTGAATCCACAAGGATGGGCAGCAACATGAGTGGTCACATTCTAGTCTTTGCATATGACCAAAGCAAGTTCATACGTCACTCTTCTGTCCTGGATTATGGGGTCCATGTGCACAACTGATTCGGAACCATGGTTTTCCAATTCTCCTAGGTTCCATGAACACCAATTTGGTGATAGCCCCAAAGATAAATCTAACTTAGGGTTGTTCAGACTCAAGTGAATAAAATGAATTTGAATGTATGGCCCAACAGTTGGTAGCTAAATACACAAACCAGTGTATCATACAAATCAATAAATCTTCGCATTTAGTAGATCCAGCAGTATCTCGACAAGTTTAAGCTACTCGCAAGGCATTTCACTAACCATGTGTTTAAAAAAACTAGGGTTATGTACTTTCCTTTGTATTTAGAAAAACATTTTCTCTCTATTTTACAATCGAAGGTTGAATCCTTAATGATGAATGCATTACTTAGGGTTCAGAGCTAATCACTAGCTTCTAGAAGTAGTGGAACTGAATTTAGACAGCTCAGAAAATAAAGAAATATAATACAACCAATTATGAAGTATAATATTAAGACGATAACTTTCGGTAGATAATAAATGAATACAGTAGTTGTGTCCAGTAGACTATGAGTTGATATATCACTTGAACAAGAAGAAAAATGGAACCCAGGATACGGCGAACAAACGTTTTACACATATTTAACAGCTGTCCTCTACCACTCCCAGGTTTTCAATGGTTCGCCAACTGATGTAAGTCCATGATGAATGATACCTTAGAAATAATATATTGTATGATATTCTAGGTAGTTAACAGGTGAAATGATAAATGTAACATAACTACAATCTTGCTTCGATTGTTATTCTTACTCTTATCCCTCCAATAATACATTAAGCGGAATTTATGCATGAAATAGTCTGATAGATTGGTGAGTAGAAATGCAGATAAACAATCGTATCATATAATAACAATAATTAATTACAACGTTGACTGGACCAACTTACATCAGCTTCAATTGCTTGAAAATATTTCAGTTCAATTAAAGTGATCTGTTGCTACAATGAAAAGTGACAAAAGGAAAAAAACAATACTAAGTAACAGTATGTACATCCATGCAATCAATAGTGAGTTGAACATCCATACTGATTAGTTATCCGATTGCAAAAACTCAAATAATAAGAGGTGGGTTCAATTCTATAACTAAACAACGGTAAGTAAAACACTTAGAATAATGATTGATTCCTAGAATGGTGCTAACTGACGTATTCTTTATTGACTGTAGAAAGTCAACAGAATTTCTTAGAAAAGAGGCTGGATTTTTTTTAATACGGTACAACGGGATCCATTGAAATGGCACTGTCTCAATCGAAGCTGCGAATCAATATCTCAGATGACTCCTCACAAGATATGAAAAATAAATTCAAAGCCTCCTCCTAACAACTTTTATCAAGCATCACAATACTCAGATTATTAATGTACCATAATCCAAAAACAGTCAATTCTTAAGAAAAGAAAACAGACAGAGCTGCCAAGGCAGAAATCAAACGAAAAAAAAGGATCAATATAGTGAATCGACTGCGTACGGAAATACAAACCAGAATTTCTTCATATTGACTGCTTTGAGATAATATAACAACTAAAGTCTCAGCAAAAACAACCTTTTCTACGAATAACAACACAACCAAGCAGGCACATTGAAATTATTCAATAAGACACTCTGAAATGTATCAATGCACCCAAACAATACTAGCTCATATTTTCAATGGCTTGGCGGTGCCTATACACTCTTTGATTCTAACAGCTGATCACCGTCAGCTTAAGGAAGACTATAGTCATAGGCATAGAACTATCTTTGAAACCTTCATTACCGTTCATCCACAGACATCTTCGTAAACATTAGAAAACACCTCAAGTAAGTTGACGAACTGCTGGTTTTGTGTCATAAACCGCTCAAGTTCTTCATGGTGTCCTTATATTTGTCGCGTTGGGACATCAAGTGCTTACCACTGGGTATTCTGCAGTTCAGTATCTGGTACCTACTGTGACAGTTTCTGTCCAACTTTCATTTGAAACTTCTTAATTGGACAAGTTGGATAAATCTTTTGGAGTATTTCTCTTGTATCAACTTGATATTACAATTAACTGCCTGTCAACCTTCATATATAGCTGAACAAAGAAAAGAAAGGATAATACGGATGCAAGTGCTAAGGTGAGTGTTGATAATGATAAGTTTGATGGTATTAACGGCATAACTAGTGCTATGATTGATATGCTTGATGGAGATCGTTTGTTGAGGAACGAAACGATCTAGAAAAAGATGTTTCTCAAACTGCTTAAGTATGAGCCACGGTCGTTTGATGGGAACCCGACAGACTATGGTAATTTTGTGCAGGAAGTGGATACACTTCCTAGTGATGAAAGCTTGTCTGATGATCCAAGACTCATGACTTCATGTAGCAATGCATTATGGTTTCTGCTAGCGCCGCACAATACTGTAAAATTCTTATCAGTAATCAAAGGAGGTTTATGCTGAAGCTAACCGCTTTTTGTGCCAGAGGAATGAACGGCCATTTATGATCTCTAAAAGTGTATTCGAGTTTGTCGAAGGAGATGGCAGACAAATGAAAGAGGATCCAAAAGAACTGACAGCATTCTTAGACAATCTTCTAATGTGTAAAAATACTCTATTATCATTGGACTGCATAAACGAGTTGAATTTGACGTCACCCACTGAAGTGGTCTCCAGACGCTTTCCGACCCACTTTTTTCAGAACTGGGGATAAGGTCAGTGCACACATCGAAGATGCAGAGATGGAACCCAGTTTCCCTGACATTTTGAAGCCAGTAGAGAAGAATAGGTCGAGAATCCATACCCAGTCGTAGGATCCGAGGTAGTAGGTTGGAAGATTTCTCCCGTAGACACACCTAAAAATCCTATGAGGAATGACAGGTATGCTGTTTATGATGGCTTACATCAACTTCAGGAATGCGCAGATTTCCTAAGATGCAACATTCGGAAGGATTAGAGGTGACGAACGGAAAACGATTGTGTTATTGATGCCTGAAAAGAAGACATTTGAGTCAGAATATTAAGTCGGGAGTTATTGATGACGGTACTAAATCGTTCAGAAGACTCTCCCTGTTGATCAATTTGATGAGTAATATTGCTTCTGCATGGATTATGAATAATAGTTGATGCAGTATGGGATTCTCAGCATGTGATATTTCAACAAATTCATTCCTCGTAAGATATTTTTAAATGAAATATTTATTGTATCTGAATACTGTCAATATTAACAGTATTAAAAAGAATTAACTTTACTAACCAATGAGTTATCCTTGGGGCGTGCGATACCTTGCTAGCTGATCATGATAGCACCCTCGAGAGTAATACTAAAACTGTTGTCTAACGGGGCATAAATATCAACCGATAATTTCTGCCTGCACACTTTTACAAGTATTACTCCAGTATATCTTTTAGAACGCAAGTGGCCTCAATATTTTAGAGCCTTGCTTGAGACTAGAGATACTGAAAATTTTCAACTGAACGTATATAAAATACATCAAATTGTTCCCTTTCAATTTGTCTGGATCTTTAATATATATTTTCTAAACGTATCATGTACTCTTAAACATTTTTAAAATGTTTCCAACTAGCCGTTTTTCTACTTAGTAACAAAACGGAGGGAAGATGTTACGGTAGATGAAAATAGACTTTTAAATGCACAAAAATACAACATATTGCTATTCCTAGGATGTTTAACTGGAATTGCAGATTTTGTACTGGCTGAATGAACTATCACCACTAAACTTACGCCTACTTTTTCATTTATTACCCATTCCAGACCAGACAATAATCAAACACCAGCTGACTGTTTCACATTATTACTTTTAATACTATTATTATTATTATTATTATTATTATTATTATTATTATTATTATTATTATTCAGATACAATAATGAGATCATTTAAAAATATTGCACTAGGAGTGAATTTGTTGAAATATCACCTGCTGAGAATCCCATACTATAATAAACATATTGATTGGAATACAGGAATTACTAGTATTAATCCTTGCTGGAGCAATATCACCCTTTATAATAATCAACAGAGAGGGGTACAGCACCTAAATTAATTCAATTTTATCTCATTTTCAAACTATGTTGCAGACATTCAGGTTTTTCACTGTATAAAATATGCTATATGGCTGGAGACAGGTATTCCAAATGTTTGACAGTTCCACATGAACCTCTAAGGATAACTGACATCACATAGACATGAAAATTAAATGATGAATGAAAGAATGATACATAATAATACAGAAGGACTTTTCATCAACATAATGGCCCACAAATACAACCCATCAGTATATGAGCTCCCTAAAAAAGAACTTGCAAACCATTTAAAGTGTGTAACATACACTTTCACTGCAAATGATTCTGGAAGTTACTCGAGACTCCGGCATAAATTAAGACAGGGTTTCTGGAAATGTAGTCGGTAGTACCTATGCCAATGAGCATGCAATCAGTTATATTATTATTATTATCATTATTATTATCTGTCCTTTGGGTTCCTAGTGGAACATAGGGCTTCAGTAGCACGTCTCCATTCCACTCTGTTCTCTGCAATCTTTTGAATCTGGCTCCACGACTGCCCACAAGCTCTCATTTCCTCCTCACACGACCTCCTCCATGTCACCCTCGGACACCCAACTCGTCGCTTCCCATAGGGGTCCCATTCTACGGTCTGGCGCATGATGTCCCCAGTCGGCCTTCTCAGTGTATGTCCAATCCGTCTCCATTTCCTTCTGCATATTTGTTCAGCAATAGGTCCAATCAGTTATATAGACCTCATCTACCGTTTTTTCGGGGATGATGGAGAGAAGGAGATAAAAAGACATCCTCCATAGTGATTAGCTGGATGCCGTAAATCCCCTAATAAAAAAAACGTCTAGGTTACTTAAAACATCTACATGAGTAGGAGGACAGCCAATACATGACAACTAAGTCTGACATAAATTCTGCATATCTTAAACTGAAGTATTTCTGATTCGTAATTAATGACATGAGAATTTCAAAATTTTTAGCCTTGTTTACTAAAACAACTGGATTGTATCAGGCATAAAGAAAAACTGACATTAGTATCAAATTAGCACCATAAACTTTTCATCACAGCCATCTTTAAAGTTTTCATACCACGTCACAGAAACACGCACGTAAACACAAATATAAATTCAGCTTTTCAGTGACCTTAACAACCATCTGCAGTTCACACCAAGTTATAGGATCTATTGTAAACGAGTGGATGGTAATGTTAATACTGACAGAAAAATAATAAATGAACTAAACAATCATAAATGCTTATAGTTTTTCACCTTGAATAGTTAATAGCAAAGCAGTTTTCCTCATGGATTGACATCAAATAGAGAACTAGACTTACTTTAACATAAAGAACTATTAAAAGCCAATAAGCAATGTACAATTAGTTTTTATCAGTGTAGGACTCTTCAAGAGTGTACACTCATACTTAGAACACGGGATCGAACAAAGGATCGATAGGTTTCGCAGCAAGTATGTTATCATTTACTAACTGGGTTGGAACTTAATGGTTTACATTTCTCAAATTTTATCAACTGACAATTTACCAAAATTATCTGATTAGTAAAAATTGATTTCTATGGTGTTTGCCGATCGGAAAGTAAATATTTCCTTAGGTAGGTATTTGTTAAGCAAACCAAGCATTTTCCAAAAAAACATGATACCAAATGAAAAATAGTATAATTAACAATAACCAAGATTATTCAATATAATGGGAAGAAATACATTCTGGTGAAGGAACGGAACAAAAAATATGGAAAGGCTTTTATCTGGAAAACAGTCCTGAAACGTAAATAACCTTTCGATAGTAGTATCAAGTTATAGGTCATTTAGAAATAATGACGTCATCTACCGATTCAGTTCCTCTACTGTTATTTTAAACAACACAACCACCTTCAAATACGAAAAGTATACTTTCAAAAATCAGTTCCTCCTGATGGATGTTTGTTCCCGGAAGCTTTACTAAAGTCCAAAAAATGGACGTTTGAGTAAAGAATTTAGCAGCTTCACTCTTTCAATGTGTGGCGTCTACACCAACCTTGATGTAGACCATTGATTGATTTGGGTATTTTCAAGCAGTTTTAGTTCAGCATGTCTCCGCAATTTTTCCATTTAATTTATGTTCATCGTAATTATCGACACAGTGAAAACAGGTTTGTGCATGACGTCATCTGACGGCTGAGCGATGATCACAGATCCAAAGACTGGGTGAGCTTTTTATTACATCTGCTGTTTTGCTCATCGCAAACCGATGGTATGTCTTTTGTTTGAGATTATTATGTGGTGGAGACACTAGTTTGGTTTGTGGGGGTAATGTAAAGAAATTTTAAAAGCTTCACAGTGATTATTGAGATACTACTCTAGTAGAGTAACCTGGAACAGAAATCCTTTAAGAAAGTTAAGCAGACAGCCACTCACCTGGAAGACCATTCATTTACTTTTTGTAGCTTTTCGGAAGATGAAAGTATCATACTGTTTCTCAGCATTTGCTGACATATAAAACTTGGGCAATGCTATATAATCACCATGTAAATAAGCCTTAATATAATATCGGCGCTCAACTTCTTTCAGGACATCCGTAACAACTATGGCCTAGATGTTTATACTGTGGTATTGTAGTAGGGGTTGCTGATCAGAATAGATATAAGTAGTATATGTTAAGAGGGCGGAAGAAACTATAAGGAATTACCAGCAATGGGTAAGGATTCTGCCCAGAGAAACGCAAGAGACAGCGATGGGGTATTAAGGGCAAATCGAGATAGAAGCAGAAGAGGAAATGAAGCACATTATGCAAATGACTGTCTTAGTGAAAGGCGTACCACATTTGATGACTAACGTGCCAAATGCTGATAATAAACCTTCCTTCTCTCGTCTTTGTCTTCTTGTTTCTTCAGTATGATGTATTTCTACATTGGCTTTGTTTATTGAATATGACACTCGTAGCGATTCAGTATTACTTAACGGATGACATTTTGAGCATAAATTACTGACCATAAAAGTATATGATATGAAAATGAGCAATAATTTATATTTGTGATGGCATACAGTAAATAATACCGTATCATTGTGTGGTATATTGAAGGAACAAATCTGTTAGGGAATTGCATCTCAAAATTATTGAGCAATGTCTGTACATTACTTTGGGTGGCTCTTGGACGATTGATATTCTGAATATTTAAACGGTACTAGTTGACTTAAGCACAGTTTCTTCCACTTCTCGATATACATGTTCGCTTGGTTGAGATATCTGAAAACTGGGGTTCTGTAGCTTACATTATCTCATTAGTATGACAGTGTCAAATAGATTGTCTTTTAAATTTCAATTAGTCTTCTAGCACTCAAAAATGTGGCATTTTAGACCGGTAGAGTCAGACAGTCAAGTTTCCGAGCTTTCATTATCATTCCACACATCAACAAAAACATTTCGAAACAGAATGTGACACCGATAGGATTTGTGGTCTGGATGGCAAATTACATTTTTCGGGGAAATGTGAATAAAATAAAATAAAATCATTAGAGATTACTTCATCGAAATTCATTTTATCTGGTTATATATTTCTTGGTGGTTTAGCTAAAATTATACACTGATTGGTTAGTGGAGGGTGACTAACTTCATGTTGTCTAGTCCTATGTGATGACTGAATTCTATCGATCATTTGCGATGTGGTCACCAGGCTAGGAGACTCACTGACGCAATGCACTGAGGTATATGTTAGTCGGACGGAGGCCATCGGCAGGAAGCCCTAAACCTAGGTTTCGTGCTTCTTGGCATCCGTCAGAAAGTGTATATGCAACCCAGAAGGGACTGATGTCCCCGTCCAGGTAGGAATTACGCCTAGCTAACGAGTGCTGAAAAACACGAAACCTAGGTCCAGGGCTTTCTCCCAATTACTTCCATCCAACTAACATAACTAAAAGTATGTTATAGCCGTAAAAATACCCAGCGATACAAACATCGGGACGTTTGTAGATTATCTGGAAGGTGAAGATAGTAGCTAAGTGACTGAGGTCAGATTTGAAAACAGAAACAAAACAGATCGAGAACTAAACAGTTGCTCTGTGTGAATCATCAAATAGCCAGGAATTCATTAGGCACACTTTCAGGCATTTCATGACTTTGCAAACAGTAAGATATTCACTATGAGGTTCGTTTCTCCACACACATACTGATGGCATAAATGAACAGGGACTTAATGGAGCCGATATTCCATTATTTTTTGTGGTCAACATTACGGCTGCTTTCCGTATTTCATCTTATTTTTTCTTCGGTTTATATTTGATCAATAAGTAGGCAGTTGAAAACCAAAACAACAGCACCTTTGTGACTAAAGTAGTGATGTTAAAGAGTATCATCATCTTCTTTTTTGCTACAATTGTTGGTAACACATAGGTGCCTAGAATTAAATACACTCAGCAACCTTGTGCACATTCGTGCAGTAAGCAATGAGCCAAACCCATTGTGTGAGGCCTAATGACACTACTTGGCTGCTCAACCCATTGGTTGACAGTAATCTCCCTAAACCAATGAGCCACAGCTCAACAAACAGGTGTCGAATTTCTAATAAACTCAAATTTTATTCCGTCGTTTGAAGAATTTTGAGTCCACTCGAATTCCGTGCTTAGCATGATCACTAATGACTCTTTATGATAATCAAGGATAAAAACAGGAATAGGGAGCTCTCTCAATAACTCTTGTATTTGTTAGGATAAACAATTAACAGGATCTGCTTTTCCGGTTTACAATACTTGTATCTCCTTTCAGAAACGCAAATACACATACACGCAAAATAATGCAACAATTCTTCGGAATGGAATACTAGCGCCGAACTGACAGCAATAAAAACAATCCACTGTAGGCACTTCAAAGTCTTTAAAAACAGAGGTAGATATTATCAATATAGAAGCTGATATTAATTAGTGCTTAACGGTTAAACAGGCATATCTTTAAAAACATCAACATCAAAGATAACAGGAAGAAGGGCAAACAAACGGAAATAACATGACTAAAAGATATATGCAGCAGTGCGAGTGGTCAAAGCAAACGAAGTGTGGTATAAAAGTCAACATGAAAATGTATTGCATCAATGTGACTGATTATAAGCCATATCATCTGCAGTCACTAAACGTTAGTTTCGGTTGTTTCACAATCCCCAACCTGAAAGTCTATTTCCCTACACAACCAAAACAAAGTTAAATGCTTCACAGAGTGGTGCTCCATCTTAGTCTGGCCACCCTTTACTTTTCTCTGACTTGACATTACTTCAGTGTCCGAACAAGTGAAGATCAGATATGAGTAACATTTCCTAGACATTTTAGCTGACGTCACCAATCAACCTACCCCTCTTGCCTAAAACTTCATGTCGACCGTCAACGTTACTCATTCACGAAACGCTGGCAACATTATGAAAAAATCATGGTTGAATATATTAAGCTTCCTCACATCTTCCACTTTCAGTAGTAATATTTCATAGTCACAGAGTACGCAAAAACGGAAAGTTGAGCAGTATTTTTAATCCATAGCAGATAATCAGATATTTCTCCAGTGTCAAAAGTTGTGGAAATTCAAAAAAACAATCACTATGACAACTTACAGCAATTAACTCAGCATCAGCTTTTAGGTGCTTTTCGTGGCGATTTTTACCGACATCCAATGTGTCGTAACTTTTACGCACAATTTTGATAACGCTAGGGACAGTTGAAGATTTGCAACGGTTTGATTTATCATTTGTATTTGTTGCAACAGCTGTTGTTGTTCCGATTGTTGATCCCTTCTGTGAAGCAATAATTGACTGGGAAAATATTGAGTCAAGTGAACTCTGAAGCAAAAAAGTGATAAAGTATATACGACTAATCAATAAATGAGGCATATGACATAGTCTTGTGAAACAAGAATTATGAATCAAATAATGAAATACGTGGTAGTCGGGAGTGTATATCACGATGACCCAACGAGCTATGCTGGTGGAACGCTTGTTCCCACGAGGTCCTACCATGCCAGAAAGGTCTGTTGGTTAGTAGTTAGACAAACTGCAGTTACCCTTAACATGTTTTTAAACAGAGATGATGCACTATGGTGGCTTACATCAGTTATCAGTGGTTAGTGATGATCCAAAACCACGGGACGCATATCCGACTATGTCTTCCATATGACAAGCCGACTGTCGTGGGGTCAAAAAATCCGTACGTAACCGGCCTCTAGCAGATGTAACCTGAGCTCTGCGGTTATGCAATAACCCTTCTTTTCCAGGTACCTTACGAAGACCTAGCCTTCCAAGGTGTAGGCAGTCAGGAAGTGACAACCGCCCTCACAACTTTGTCAGCGCTCAGACCACTATCCTCCACCCTCATCCTTACTTTGTAATCTTCCTTCACGTCTCTCAGTTAATAATCCTACATCATCTATGATTTCTTCTGGCTATGCAGCTTTCGATAACGATCTGAGTCTACAGAAGAGCATAAGTGGTCTCCTTAAGCTATGGTCGAAGTTATACATTGCTGTTGTTGCAGGTTATTTCAATGAACAAGTGGGTCGGCTGGGTCAGGCAGAAAAGTACCTAGATGGTACTTTCGGAATCCCAGACAAGTGAACAGATAAGTGATCACCTATTATAACTGTCCTCAGACAACCGTTTATTTTTAGCACAAACTTCAGACATAAAGAAAGACATTATATGACGCGGCGTCCACCAAGCTCAACCCAACGATGGACACATAAACCACACCGCTATCCATCATCGCTGGAGGGTCGGTGGGAGACTGCTGCTCGTTCTGGAGCACATGTTTGGGTGGTGACCATACGTTGGTTCGAGTGCATATATGTCTCAACTGACGTAGGAAAACTTTAGCAACAAGACCAACAGGAATGCAGCTGGACAATGAGAGCATTAAGGGCCAGTGAGAAACTGGTTAGGCAGTTATCGGAACAGAACACTATCACTCATCAAGAAGAAGCTTGGTGTCATCTCGTCTTTTTTAAAAACAGCGTTGAAGACCGTAGCCAACTCTCAGTAGTTAGAAAGTGCCAGTAAATATCAGAAGCTATTAACTAATGGATGCACGTAAAGGAAACCCTGTAGGCTCTGAGTACAATGAGGAGCGAACGCAACTCAAATGTCGACTGAAAAAAGTCCACGCAATGACCGCGAACAATAGTGAACAAGAAAGGTTAAAGAGAGGGAAAAAACAGGGGTGATAGGCAACAGTAGACCATTATTTATATTTATTAAGAAATTGGGGTAAAACACTCAATGGGGGAGAACGTTGTGTCTGCGATTCACTCGCAGGGACGATTGGAACTATGAGCAGAACACTTCGGGGTCGATACACCTACGGTCAGGTTCGAAGCCTTCCTGGTTATCTCGGACTTGCTGTTCATGAGCTCTATTCAGGGGTCTAAAGATTACAGAACCTAGAATATTAGACACTATGTTCGTCAGGCTGATTCCTCTATGGTTATCACAAGAGGACTTCTCTAGTTTCTTGAGGAATGGGATAATCAGTGATTAAGACCAGTCAGAGGGGATCATATTTGACTCCCATACACTAAACACATCAGTTAACGTGGCTAAAAACACTGTGCTACCGTCCTTATATACCTCACGAATTAGTTTTTCTGGTTCTGCTGCAATTCCTCATTTTACGTTACCTATGACAATCTCGACTTCTGCAAATGTTGGGGGCTCCGTAGCCATGTTTCATTCAGAAACTGACTGGATAGCGGAGAACGGAATAGTAGCTGGAGGCCAGATGAACTGCTTCTCGAAGTTTTCTGCCCATCGTTCTAGTCATCTCCTCTGTAAGTGAATCGGAGACTCACCAGTCTCCGCTATAGTCTAGCAAACCGATGAGTTTTCTGCCCATCTTCTTAAAAAGTTTAAATAATTGTCTACTGTTACCTATCACCGCTGCTGTTTTCATCTTTCGCCCTCCACTACTGTTCGAAAAAGCGTTATCTACTAGGGCATTAGGGCACTAGCTTATAGCCCACCGAGCTCAACTCAGCGATGGACACAGATAGACCACATTGCTATTAGTCATCGCTGGAGAGGATCGGTGGAAGACTGCCGCTCCTTCTGGAGTACGTGTTTGGACAGCGATCATGCGTTGGTCCGAGCACGTATATGCCTGCGTCTCAATGGACGTAGAAAAAATTTGGCAACAAAACCACTACGAGTTCTGCTGGACAACGAAAACACCAAAGCCGTGTTCAGTGAGAAGTTGGCTAGGCAGTTATCGGAACAAAAGACTGTCACTCATCCAGAAGAAGCTTGGTGCCATCTTCAGTCTACTGTAAAAGCAGCACTGGAGACTGTAGCCGACTCCAAGATAATGGCTAAAAAGAGCCAGTGGATATCAGCAGCTTCTTCCAAACTAATGGATGCACGTGAATGCATCCCTGCAGGCTCTGAGTACAATGAAGAGCGAGCGCAACTTAAAAATAAACTGACGAAAAGTCTGCGCAACGATCGTGAACAGTGGTGGGCAGCAAAGGCTAAAGAGATGGAAAAGGCAGCGGCGATCGGTAACAGTAGACAGTTATTTAGACTTATTAAGGAGACTGGGGGGAAATGGTCAACAACAGTTAGTGAGGTTATAGCGGAGAAGGACGGATCGGCGATTCACTCGCAGGGAAGGCGACTGGGACGATGGGCAGAACACTTTGAGGAACAGTTTAACTGGCCTCCAGCCACCATTGCGCTGCCCGCTATCCAGTCGGACCCTGAATGGGACATAGAGACAGGTCCCCCAACACTAGAAGAAGTTGAGAAAGCGGTAGGTAGCCTGAAACGGGGAAGGGCAGCAGGACCAGACGGACTACCTGCTGAGGTATACAAGAATGGTGGTAGAGTTCTCTTAGTCAGGCTAACGGAAGTGTTAGCCAGTATATGGGAATCAAATACGATCCCCTCCGACTGGTCTAAGTCACTGATCATCCCAGTCTTCAAGAAAGGCGAGAAGTCCTCTTGTGATAACCACAGAGGAATCAGCCTGACAAACATAGTGTCTAAGATCCTAAGTTCTATAATTCTCCGACGCCTGAGTGGAGCTCGGGAACAGCAAGCCCGAGAAAACCAGGCAGGCTTTAGACCTGGCCGTGGATGTATCGACCAAATATTCACACTGCGCCAGGTCCTGGAACATAGGCATGCTTACAGACGCCCGACAATAGCTGTATTTCTCGACCTGAAGGCGGCATTTGACTCCGTTGATCGAGAAGTCTTATGGCAGTGTCTGTCACTGAAAGGCGTGCCTAGTAAGTACATCACCTTATTGAAAGCTCTCTACTCGAACACTTGTGGGCATGTTAGAGCCTATGGTGAGTTGTCCAGGGAGCTATACTCATCAAGTGGTGTCCGTCAAGGATGCCCACTATCCCCATTCTTATTTAATTTTATCATAGATATTCTTATGGAGGTTTCCCTCTCGTCACCTAATTACAAAGACGTTGACCGGATCACAGGTGAATTTTCCTTAGATCTAGAATATGCAGATGACATAGTCCTGTTAGGTGAAGACGCTGACAAGATGCAGAGTCTTCTGAACACTTTGAGTGGGAATTTGAGAATGTTTGGGATGCGATTTTCACCACCCAAATGCAAATTTTTGCTCCAGGACTGGTCTTCAGCGGTACCGCGGTTAACAATAGAGAGTGAAGTGGTTGAGTGTGTTGACCACTTCACTTACCTGGGAAGTAGGATCAACCCGGTGGGTTAGTTGCCGATGAGATTTCTGCACGGATACAAAAGGCTCGATTGGCTTTTGCCAATTTGCGCCACCTATGGCGCCGCCGTGATATTCGTTTGTCTATTAAGGGTCGCGTGTACTGCACAGCAGTCCGCTCTGTTCTACTGTATGGCTGTGAAACATGGCCATTGAAAGTGGAAGACATGAGAAGGTTACAGGTATTTGACCACCGTTGCCTTCGTAGTATAGGACGTATTCCGTGGTGTCACCATGTGAGTAATGCAGAAGTTAGGTGTAGAGTTTTAGGGAGAAGAGGTAAGTCAGTCGACGAGGTTGTGAACCTTCATCGACTGAGATGGTTGGGACACGTACTACGTATGCCTAGTCACCGATTGCCTCGTCACACAATGTTGGCTGAGGTGGGTTCAGGCTGGAAAAAGGCCCGAGGTGGCCAGACTAAAACATGGCACCAATGTATGAAGTCTCTGACTGTTGGTTTAAGCCATGTAGGACGATGCAGACTAGGTGGTTGGGGTCCACGGGACAAGAGGAACCAGTGGTTGGAGACCCTAGGTGATATGGCTCAGAACCGAAGTCAGTGGCGCAGATGTATACACACATTATCCTCATCTTAACAACGCTATACCGAATCTCACTATTTTGTCACTCCTCTTTCCTTTCTTCTCGTACTTTATATTTCTTTTGACTGCATTCACTTATCTTCATCCTTCACCTCACTACCTTTTTACTTGATGTGCTGATATGAGGTGTGGCAACTCGGACCGTTACGCAGTAATGCCTGGTCCTATGTTGATAATGATGATGATGACTAGCTTATAGCAATATCAACTATGTGTCCATCCTTGGTTTTATGTCGGCGGACACCATGTGACGCAGTGTTTCTCCTTGAGCCTAAAGTTAGTTCTGGCCAGAAACAAGCGACTCTCGGGACAAAATCACGACAGACGACTAACGCTGTCAGTTTGTTGGCATAGGATTCCGTAAATACCCCAAGATGCTTCTCCGATTGGCTTAGCTCCCCCACTTGAGCCTTAAAGTCACCTGTCACTATGACTGTATCTGAACGTTTTGAATTCTGTAGAAAAGTTGACAGCTCCTCATAGAATTCATCTCTCGCATTATCCAAACTGCACCCGGTGGGTGTAGGCGGAGATTAAGAAGTCACCACCTAGTCTCCTGATCTTTCTCAGTTCGTACAGATCCATTCAACTGAACAGCACAGATAGCCATTCACTGGTATCCAATCGAGAAGTGTACTCTGCGCTCTACAATTTAATGCTATGTCTACATCCGTAAGTCTGAGAGAGTTAGCCAATGGGTCTCCGGACACTTGTAACGTGTTTTGGTGACTCACTACTATGGTCAGGTGAGGTCAATTTAATAATCACACTCGATTCCTTTATACGTGTCTCAAGGATACAGCAAACCGCTAGATTCCAAAGTCTGGACGAGCAATGCTTGCTGTCCGGTTCGACGTGGAGTTTGGACGTTGAAAGCTCCTACATGAAATCGGTAGCGGGATCTTAAAAGACTAGAAATGAGGTATCTACGACTTCGATAATTGACAATGATTGTAAAGTGAGAGATCGGGTAGGGCATAAAAGGCTTAATATTAGTATCAAGAGGGGAAGGCAAATGAGTTGAGGAGGACAGGCTATGTTTAATTGGATCTCGCCTGCCACTGAAAGCGTGTAGGTGGCTGACACTTCCCTGCTGCCCATAACATGGGATGGCATCTTTTCCTAAAGTACCTGTGAGAAAAACGGATGTGAGCTCAGAGCCCATGGGCTATGTGCTTAAAGCCTGTTACACAGACTGTTGTGGGTTGGTGTTTCGAGGTTTGGTTGTTCTAACGTCGGATAGAGAACCCATGCTGCCGGCACTGGTAGAACATGGGATATGTTGAGTGTGTTGCTTTTACGCCAGACCTTTTCCAACTCCTACTTCATCTGAGAAGGCAGCATCAGAATAGCACTGCTGGTCATCCAATGAAAACACCTTACTGCTGCCACACGCCAACCAGCTAGCAGCAATACGACTTCGCCCTCAGACCCTCATCATAGCGGAGTAATTTATACTACAACGGTAACTGTTTTTCGTCTTAACATTGTCCAGCAAACATTTCTGACATGGCAGACCCTCAAAAGAACAAGCAATCAACCAATATAGCTCGTTGGGTGATTCTGACATGCACACCCCACCACCCAGTCAAAGTAATTTCCATTGCTTGCGCTGACATCAACGTTGATTCCGTCTTTTTGAGGAAAAACGTACACTAAACTGGATATTTAGCAGGTAACAGCATTTTAAGCTGTGGCCATAAGTGGTGAAAGTCGGTAAAAAATCAGCCTAACGTTTCTTTTCTGTGCAAAGGTTTTGACAGTTATGGATCCATAAGGACTGATTTAAATTCCACAGCGTAGTTATCAACCTTTTTAACTGATTTAATAACTATCAACTCATAGCAATCTGCAATTTAACTTATTTAGACAGGCATCCTAAATGTTTAAAACCACCAACCCTCACCTGGCCATAATTCTGAAGGGGCATGGCTGTCTTCCAATTTAGTAGACCAGGGATGTATGCTTTTACGGTCAAACAAGGCGACAGATATCTCTACAGGTATTTAGCGGCAAGACCCTACCACCCCGCCATTTTTAATTGGTAACATTTTCAGGATTACTTGTGCTGCATTTCTATTTCTCACTTTTCTTGTTGACCTTCTTATACTGCTACTAAGTATGACAAGGCAGGTTGTTCCATAGTTAGCATGACTTAAAAATATATGCAGTTGTTTCACGTAAGCAGTACAGTGGCATTGGCCATCTCATAGAAAATATAATTCACAAAATAATGACAAGGATGCATATAAGTCAATCAAAATCAAGTAAATTATGTGGCGCTAGATCATTCTTTTGTCAAAGAGTGAGTAGTCGCATGGCTTTTAGTTTCATCTTGACAACTTGCGTATCTTCGGACTGACTATTTATTTAGGACTCAAAACTTGTCTCTTAATTTGACAAATACAGTTTAGGTGGTATAAGAAGTGCTTAGTATAATAACGTCTAAAAACTTGAACTCACAGCATCATTAAATCCAAGATTCACGCGCACGCATGAGTGTTGCCTATATTTAGGACCACAAAGTGTAGTGCATTTTACTGAGTCTTCCAAACTTAGGCCCCGAATAATTGGAGGAACATATCCTGGAGTTGTGTGTGAAGCAACACCAACATGAGTTCTTGAATTATAACCTGTCATCACATTTTTGTCAGGAGTTAAAAGATCCATTGGTAAAAGGGCAAAACATGTAGTTTCTTAACTATGTTATGCCATGAGAACCACAGAAAACTCCACAACCAAACTCATGTGCCAAAAAAAATCCCATAAAAACCCAAGGACTTCAAAGGCCCGCTTTCAAGTCACGTTCCAATATCCAATATCTTTTTAAGAGCTAGTGCAACCCAATTGATTTCTTCGCGCTCGCTTCTAGGTCTTGCGAAACGGTTCCAGGTCTTTGGTGGATTCCAATGCAGGAGGTCTACCCACTCAGCTGCTGTAGCTCTGGTTAACCCTATGGGCGGTTGGGTGCCGAATAAATGCGAAGGGATTGCACAATTTAATATGAGGACTGTGGTGCAGATGGATTCCTCAAGTGTCGTGCTACCATACGGTTGTTCAGACCGGTCGTAAAAGTAAGATACAAAGGACGAACAAATGTCCAGTGAAAACGAGGGAGAACTGTGGAAAAAAGACAAGGTGAAAGGAAGCAGAAAAAAAGTAAAGGAGAATCATGGACAGATCCACAGGAGATAATGGTAACAAGGGGAACCTCAATAAACGAGGGGAGACCATGCAGTCAGGGGGGAGAGAAGGAGGAAGTAAGTTTATACGACAGGTTGTGGGGGTGAAAGTAGCAATATGATTAGTGCGGGTAGGGTAACTAAAGATGTCACGCAGGGAAATACACAGTTAAGTCAAGTTCTCGATGACAGTTACAGTACAAGCAACCCGGTATAAGGTTGAGTGTACTAAGTTGCGTGGGAATAGTGGGTCCTATAAACCTAGTCCGTATCCTAACCGGGTGGGCGCAAACCATGCGTGACTGCTTAGTTTTTCGACCTATTCCTGAAGCCATCAACAGACGAAGCAGTAGCAATGACCACAGGCAACCACGGCAAAAAGTATGAATGCACATGGCCTTCCACTACTTGATAAGTGATTCTACTTGGGTTAAAACAAAAATTGCTGAAGTGGCTTTTTCGTCGGATTCCGTCTTTCGGATTACTTTCTCCACGAGGCAGATGCCTTTCTTCGGGTATGTGGTGCAGCGACGCTGTGGCTCTCTCGTTTTAATGATGATAATTTATTCCTGAATTTGGGCGGTATACGGTTCTTGGTTAGCCTTTAGAAGGGTCCGAGAGTGAGGGTACACATTTGTCTGACCATGAAGTGCAGCACTGCATGGACTCCGGGGGCTCTGGTGCGCATCTCATTAGTCAGTATAAGTCCCGGGACTTTCTTCGTCGTGGTACTAAACCGTTCCATGTCACAGAAAGATTGGGATAACTTTTGTGAGCTAGGATTGAGGAGAAACATGGTTCGCCATTTATCGGGGTTTAACGCCAGTACAACATCACTCACCAATTCCGCAAGCAATAGGAACCTTTCAGTGACGCGCATGAAACTGCTTCGGATGCAACACCTCACCATAACATTATATTGTCAGCAAAAAGCAAACTCAAGAATGCGTGATTCAACAGAAGGTCGTTCAACAAAAACTGAATAGCAGCGGACGGAGAGACGAAAAATATCATTCTCCAGCTGAAACAAGCTTGACAAAAATTATACCCACACATAGAGCCATACAACATTCCTACAGCAGCAGATACATAAACATATAAACTATAGGCGTCGGCATGGAAACCAATAAAAACCTTCCATAAATGTGACACTGTGTCTCCGAGATCCGACAACTGATTCCAGTTGGTAGTTTTATGAAGTGTGCAACACTGGGAAACTGCTTAACCATAAAAGTCGGCAACGACCGATATTATCTAACTACACCATCGTCCCTAACATTCCTGACAGTTTCGCACTGATAATAAAAATGGTAATATTTATTCCTGAATATATAAGCACACAATTTCCACAAGTTTAATTGCCTCCGAAAGCGCGGCTCAAATGAATAAGAATGAGCTGTCTTTAACTCGCTTCGTGATGCAAGACACTTAAGTGGTTAAAAGAGGGCCATGACACATTCAAAATCCTACGGAAAAATAGAGTTACCCCAAGGAATTAATCCGTATTAACGACACATAGGAAGGTTGAAATCTTATGACGTCCTACAGGAATATACATCTGAAACAATGGCGAATGGAAACAGAAAGATGTCACGGAGCCGGCTGACACCAGCACATAACAGCGAAAATTTCGATCAACATAAATTAGCAGAACACATTTCAGCTTATGTATTAGCTAGTACCGTCGCACCTATTAATTAGCACGGTAAGGAAAACTGAAGTAAAAAAGAAGTCCCTTAGATATTTACACCTACTATTAACAAAGGTTGATTCGAGCGGCAGGGTAATGAGCAGACGGTCAATAATCCACTCCGCCGAATGCAATTCTGGAACTTCCATCACTCAGCGGCATGAAAACAAAACAAACACTAACTTCGTCGACCATAGCGTATCCACGACGAAGTTCGCACATGTAGACCATCCTGAGTCCAGTGTAACCCCAACAAAAACAAGGTCCATAATTGAACAATACGTGTGCCACCTGGAGAAAAATAAAGCTTGAAGCTAGTACCTCCACCGTGACAATTCGCACTTTTGCTTGCGACAATGAAGAGAAGTTTATGAGGGAATGTATGCAAGTTGTTTGTTTATTGTACTTCACTGATGCTCCCAGAAATGTGTAATTCACGCATGAAGTACCGCTTCACGTCAAAGTTTCACAACCTCGATGAATATTACGAATGAGAACCAAATATCTTTACAACTGCAGCATCCGGAAGCAATGGATGTGTTTGAATGCGTCAAGTGGACCTCCAGGACATCTTGTCCTCCGTTTTCACGGGTCGTGACAGCCTTGTAGTCGGCAAGTGTTGGACTTTACTGGCCACTTTCATAATGACTAAGTCCCAGGTTTTGATAACCATCAAGTTATGGTTGGGCGAGCATTGTTTGTTCCTCTTTGTTGTAGTTAGGTAACATGAACGCAGTAACACTGGCTACCCTACATAGAGGATAGCTTCGGCCAAGGTTGGCCCCCTAAACAAGTATTTTTCGACGACGACCAAGCCAACGTTTGGAGCTGAATTGCTACTCTACAACGAGAAAGAAGACAGAAAGAGCAGCAGGAGAAGAAAAAAGCGAGAATTGCAACAAGGAGAGCGTTACCTATGCTCTTGTTCTTCCCTACTTAACTTTCTTTGCTGTGGCGTTCATTGTATATGCCTTTCTACTGAATACCCAGGAACATGAATCTCATGCTTTTGTGTAGTGAAGAACTTCTGCGTTTACTTACTATGTCGGGTAGGGGAGAATGTGCCGTTAGTTTGAGGTGACAACTTATGGAAGTCTCCCCGAAGCTTCGTATGAAAGGCCAGTACATGTGTGGTGGATGTATCGTTATACACCAAGAGGGGCCAGCATGTGAGACGTCATGGGGGATAGTGATGCTGTTCTCCGAGCCGGGCGAATCCTGTTGACTCCTGTGTTGAATTCGTTGCCGTCCAAATAGTCCCGCACCCAGAAAGCTGATAGTTTTGATCTCTCAAGGCAGGTGCTTGAGGCTTGTTTCTTTTCGCTTCGTTCGCTGCTGAAGTGCCCAAACAAATATTCCTGCTTTCCCGCTCTCAACCCTGCCGAGATAACCGGTTGGCAGGTAGATATTTAAAACTTCCTGATTTAGGTGTTCGGGAACCAACACCCAGGTTCCTACGTGCTCAGTGGCCTTGTAGAATCAACAAGCTAGTGGAACACGAACAACTACCCTGAAAGTCAAATTCAGCTTTATGAATGGCACTTCCCTGCTGGAGAAGTCCTAGACTTCGTCTGATGTCAGCCTTTCCGGTCCTTCGGAGAGTGCATGGGGTTGCCTGATCATCCTATAGCTCCAGCAGCTATCAATTTCTCCCCTTACGAGAATAGGTGAGAGAATAACGCGCTTCCGTTCTCTTGGAATCCTGAGTGACCACAGCGACCCATTTTTGTGTGTGGTGGTGATGCAACGAAATTAGTCGTCATTTACCGTTTTGTCAGTGTCATTTCATACTGGAGCCGATGTGCTGTTGGACGTTGCTCCATACGTATTTTTGAATGTGCTGATTTGGAGGAAGGACCCTGTGACGTGTTTCTATGGAGGGATCGCTGACATGGCTGGGTTCCGGTCTAGGTTCGCTATCAATATGTGTGCTTTGCAGGTGATATGCCTTGAGGATATTCGGAGAAAATATACACGATATGTACTGGGCTGTTGTGAAGAACCTGATTAGGAGAGAACCTGCAAGAAAGTGAAGATTTACGCGCTCTGGTTTAGACACCTGAGGCTCATGGTAAACATAATTTTCGCCTTAAGCGTGGCATTAGGTATGCTTGTTGTTTTGCTATTTTCAGGCCTACGTCCTCATACAGTCAACGCAATCTTCTTTATGCTGCTGCCATGAACCTAACACATGATTCTTTATGGTACAGTGGATCAAGTCATGGAGTGAGGTCAAACCTAGTGTGCGCACTTTTATGTCCCCGTTTAAGTTCCAACGTCTACTTAGCGAACTGCTTTGGTTCACGGATATCGACAAATTTCTTGACATTCGTGTTTTATCCACAAACAAAGAATACAATGGAGTTATCAGCACGCAACCATGGTTAAGCCATCGTATCCTTTGATAACACTGTCGCTTAAAATAAACACGTTGTCATGCAGTATCATTTTCATCCAACATTTGTACAGTTATCCAATAACTTTAAACATAACTTGGTAAACTAGAAATGTATTGATTTAGGCACTTACCTTGGTTATATAACTGTGAATACTTACTGATACTTCTGATAGTATATACTGGTCCCTATGGTTAGCAAAGTTAGAAACTTAAGAACTTTCTAATGAATGGACTGTTATATTACTGCATAACAAACTATGCAGATGGACTAACAACGTCGGCCGGTTATAACGCAAACTTCGGATGTAGCGTGCTTTTCTTCTTAATAGTGGAGCCTATCTGCGTAATGGCAGATGAAATTCCATGCCCGTCTCATGAGTTGCAGCACGTTTTAGTAAGG